GGCGGGGGGAGGTTGGACTAGATGACCTTGAAAGGTCCCTTCCCACCCAAACTGTTCTGTGATTCCATGAAAACAGCCCCAGAACAAGACTGTTTGTCCGTCCTTGCTGTAGGTCCCTGGCTCGGTGGGACTATCGGCTGCATCTGAGCTGTACCACACACCCGAACTCGCCCCGGACACAGGCGCCCAGCCCAGGACAGAGCTCGTGTCTCTGGACACCCGCTCCCTGCTCCGCTCGCTGGGCCAGGCAGCCGAGCCGGGCGTAACGAGAACTGCCAGGGGCAGCTCAGGGTTTCAGCGTGGGCAGGGCAATCAGCCAGATAATTAAAGGGGAACAAAATGTGGGGCATCTCTGGAACGGGAGGGGCTTGGTCTGATTTAAGTTGTGCCTGAATGGGTCAGACACCCATTTTTGGAGGGGTTGGACGCCTTCACCAGTGACCCTGCCCTTGTTTTCCCACAGAAAGCCCTAAGCCAGGTCCTGTTTCTGACCACCCACTTGCCGGCCTTTTTCCTGAGGCATCGCCTGCGGAGCCACATCTTGGAGATCCGGCACCTGGACTGCGCCATGCTGCGCCTGGGCTTGGGCCAGCTGTCCGAGGAGGAGCTGAAAGCGGTGAGGACGCCTCCTCCAGCCCCGCGCCGGCTGCTTTACCCTGGGGTTGCCTCGTCCCGGCTCTCCCCGTTGTTACCAGAGCTGCGTCAGGGCACAGCACGTTCCTCCAGACCCACCGCGAGGTGGATTGCGGCCGCTGTCCTCCGGGAAGGCATTTTCTGGGCCTGTTTTCCATGCCGGGACCATGCTGGGGCACGGTTTACTGTTGCTCAGCCCTGCTTCACACCAAGGAAGGATCATGGCGTGATCCCTGGCATTTCCTGTGACCCAGAGTGCCTGTCCCTGAATGTGTCCGTATTTTTTTTCTTCTCCCCTGCTCTGCAGGCTTGTTACCTCCGTGGCCTGAACTCCACTCATCTCGGCATGTCCGAGTGCAGAGCGTGGCTGGAGCAGTGGCTGAGGCTCTCCTGCAAGCTGCAAGGTAACGGTGGCCGAGGGGCAGCTCCTGCCTGGTGGGGCAGCGGGGACCTGGGAGCCCCTTGAGTACCTCTGGGCACAGGGAGCATCGGCTCCAGGGAAATTTGGGGTAAATGGCGGCTTTTTCCCCCTCTGGGCTGCCCCATCCATCCCCTGGGGCCTCATCCCTGAGAGGAGGATGCGGCGGAGCGTTCTGGCTCGCTCCGGAGGTGTGTCCATGTGGAATACCCAGACTGTGCCCAGGTGTCCCTGTCCCACAGAGACCTCGTGGTGGCAGATTCGAGCCCTGCACCAGCACGAGGAGAAGCAAAACGGAAGTGGGAGGGAAATGGGGGACCCAGAGGAGAGCAAAAAGCTCCCCGGAGAGAGGGGCCCGGGGCGGGGGGGAGCCCCGCAGCCTCGTGCTGCGTTGGCAGCTCGGGATGAGCATGTTTGGAGTGGTTGGGCTGCAGCAGCGCTGCTCTGACCCCACTCTTGTATTTTTTTCAGTTTCCGAAGCTTCCCTCCTGGCGAACAGCATGGTCCTGCTGTCCCTCAACTATGTCAGGGCCAAGGAATGACAGCCAAGCCGCTGGCTGCGCACTCTCACCCCTGGCATCGCGCGTCGGCTTGGCGATTCCCAGCCTGGTGCCGCAAAAAAACCCGCCTTTCGGTGATGTGAAACCACAGCCCGGAGTCGGCGAGAGGGGCCCCGATGCTGCTGCGGGGGCCAAGATGCGATTCCTTCCCTCCTGTGCCGGAGGTCCATGCCGGCGCCGGCT